ACAGAGTTTCGCTCTTGTTGCCCAGGCTGGAGTGCAATGGCACGATCTCGGCTCACCACAACCTCCGCCTCCTGGGTTCAAGCAATTCTCCTGCCTCAGCCTCCCCAGTAGTGGGACTATAGGTGCTCGCCACCATGCCCAGCTAATTTTTTTTTGTATTTTTAGTAGAGACGGGGCTTCACCAATGTTGACCATGATGCTCCCAATCTCTTGACCTTGTGATCCACCTGCCTCAGCCTCCCATAGTGCGGGGATTATAGGCATGAGCCACCGTGCCTGGCCACATCATTCTTAACTCTCACACAAATTCTGGGGAAAATGTGCAATTAGTCCCATTTTGCACACAAGAAAACCAGGGCTCAGAGAGGCTCAGGGGACACAGGTGACACTGTGTCACGGCGGAGCTGGGACTGGAGGGTGTCCTGCCTGACACCAGAACTTTCCATCTGTCCCCCTCTACGGCCAATCACCCTCTGGCCTCAGGGGCTGTAAAGGCAGCAATGGATTAGGTCTGAAGTCGCTTTGGCCAGTCCGATGTGAGCAGAGCGCTGTACAGTAAGGGCCCCTACTCAAGGCAGTGGACCACCCTCTCCTGCGGCAGACACGAGCTGTCTTCTGTGTGCTGCATGTCAGTGTGGCAGTGTGTACATGTGGTGGTGCATACATGTAGCTGTGTGTGCATGTGGCCTTGTGTACATGTGCCACATGAAACAGTTATGCGCCCTGGTCCCCAAACTGCCAGCATCAATTTCACTCATTCACACAGGCACTAAGAGCAGGGACCCTAGGAGTCACACTGCCAATTCACGTCCCAACCCTGCCACCTATCTGTGATCTTGGGTGAGTCACTTAAACTCTCTGTACCTCTGAGTCTTCATCTTTGCAATGGGAATAAGAGCTTCTAAGAGGAAAATTTGCAGAGGTCTCTTGAATGGCCAAGATGTCTGTGGAAACTTATAGGATGTGGGCAAACAAGGCATTGAATCTTTCCTCACAGTTAAGTGAGTTTCTATACAGGACCTGTGCCGGCTAAGTGCTATATTACTTATATTAGCCACTGTATTTTTCAGCGAAGACATACTGAGCACCTGCTGTGTGCCAGGGAGCATGACAGGGGCTGGGCCACAGTGCTAATCAAGACAAGCCCAGTCCCGCCCTCAAGGGGATCACAGTGTTTTGAGGCTCCTCAAAGCGTCTCCTTCCTTCATCCGTGAACGTGCACTGACAGAGGGACAGGGATGACTGGGGCCAACGCGCCTTGGAGGATGGAGGAAGGAAGAGGTGATTGGGGACCCCACCCTCCCAGTTTTCTTCCTGTCACTCTGACTGCACCTTCTCAAGCCGCTCTTGTGCTCCCTGTCCTCTGCCAGCCCCAGTGCTGTGGGGTGCCCAGGACTCTGTGCTCCTGCTCTTCTCCCTTCCTGACCACCCACACCAGCCCACCCGCCTTCTCCCATCTCTGCACAGATGGCCCCTACATCTGTGCTTCAACCCGGCACCCCCAGCCACTCAGTCACCCAAGCCAGCAGCCTGGGAGTCCTGTCTCCACCCCCCCACGCCCACCCCACCCAGCCACTCCCTAAGTGCTATCGACTCTACCTCCGGCATCGCTCTTGAATCCACCCATTTCTCTCCAGCCCCGCCAGGCCCCCCTTTTAGTCCATCTGTAGTAGGTGTTGCTGGTGCCTCACCCAGACCCCGTTTTCAACCCAGGACATTTGTCTACTGGCTGCGGGTGGGGTTGGCTGTCAACAATTCACAGCTGTGCCCTTCTACGGAGCAGTGCCCTCAGTCAATGGGGACCAACATGCCATTTTATCAGGAAATGCCTGGGGGGCTACACTCTCCTCCCAGGCACAACCCTTGATCAGCAGGTATACCCAGGAGCAAAAGCCGCCCCTCATGCCCTGACAGCTCTGCAGCCCAGGGCAGGCACCAAGCTCCCTAGGGGATCGGGTCCAGACCAGACTTTGGCTGTACCACGTCCTCACCTAGGTTCTGCTCCTGTCCCACCCTGCTGCCCTCACCCCTCATGTGTGTCCCTGAAAGTGCTCAGACCCCTTCCCAGCCTTTGCCTTCCAGGAACCCAACCTAAGACCCCATCTCCCATGTGGGACCAGTCACAGTGACATCTCCAGGGAGGCAACCCAGAGGACAGATGGGGCCTGGGCTGGGGTGGAGGGCTTCTGGGGCCTGGGGAGGGGAATGCGCCGCCTTACCCTCAGGCTGGCCTGAAGGAACCAGCCGGGGCCCACCTGGCCTCCCGACGCTGTGATTAAGTTTTGTGCCAGATGACCGACGGGGAGCTGGAGCTTTCCATCCTCCCCTTTTCTTTTTACTTCCCTTTCTCTTCTCCTCAAAGGCTGAGCCCAAGTTAATCAGATAAATTCCTCAGCAGTCGTACCAACACTTTTTCTGAGGTTCAGTCTCCCCAGAGCGACTCATAATTACTCCACACTGAGACATTAAAGCAAAGGGGAAAGAAGAGCAGGAAAAAGGATGTTTTTAATTAAAATATTAATTTTTCTAACACTGATGGCTGCCCAGCGGTGGCACTTCCCCACTCAAGAGACCATCCACTCCATCCCTCTCTTCCTCAAGGTGGAGGACGGGCCTGGGAAAGGCAGCCCCCTCCCTGAACAAAGCCACCTTCCCCCTCCAGCGGAAGCCTCTCTGTCTCCCCTCCCTCACCTGCAAAGTGAGAGGTGGGGCTGCAGGATTCTACATGGGAACAGCAGAGAGAGGCCACAGGCTTTGGAGTCAGCTAGACATGGACCGGCTCAGTCACTGACGATGCATGTGGCTCGCCTAAGTCCCCTCACACTTCTCTACTCTGGTGAGGTCCTCAGGCCAGTGGTGTCCACATCACCTGGGGGCCTGTTGGAAATGCAATTTGGACCTCACCCCAGATCAGCTGAATCAGAATCCATTTTAATAGGATGCCCTGTGATTCATACCCACAGAACCTTTCCAGAAGCACCACTCTGGTCAGTTCAAGCTTCAGCCGTCTCCTCTGGACAATGGCTTAGCTTGCAAAGATCATGAAGTTTTACAAGAAAACAGTTTAACAATCTGTAAAGCAGGAACCTCAACAAAATGTTCACGAGTTTTTAACTGGGGCCGTTCCAGGGCGTGGTGTGAAACCTCATCTCTGGTTCAGGAACTTGACGCCATGAGCCAGAAGCTTTCCTGCTCTCTTGAACACTTTGCTTCCTGCATCTGCGGGCCCTGCCAGAAGTTTCCTGAAGGAACCAAAGAGCTTGCAAGGCAGGAAACCTTGACTGGAGGAAATAGCCACCCACGTCTGAGGCACTGACCATGGTCTGGGTGCCTCCCCTGTGCACCGTGGGCTGGGGCTGCTGGTGGGGTTAGGGCTGCTGTGGGTGAGGGGAGCTCACACTCCAATGTCATGGGGATGGAACTGTCCACTCTAGACAGATAGCAACAGCCATGGGCTCCCGTCTTTACCTTGCCAGTCCTTTCTGGAGTCTTTCCTAAGGACACAATTCACAGTATAGACAAGCTTCACACCAGGAAGATTCATCAGGTTACCTTAAATAGAGAGTCAGTAGGAATAACACTGAGAGCAAGGCTACGTGATTGTTAGTAAGGACGTTTCAAATCATGTGAAAGACTGCAACGACAAGAGAAAATGTTTATGATGTAATATGGGATATGGAAGAGCTATACACTCATCTATGTTTAAAAAAAAAAAGTGTATGTACAAACATACACTTATGCCGAAGCCCTCATTGTGATGCACTCGGAGGTAGGGCATTTGGGAGGGAATTAGGTATAGATTAGGCCATAAGAGTGGGACCCTCATGGTGGAATTAGTACCCTTATAAGAAGAAGACAAAGAGATACCTCCCTCTTCCTTTTTCCTGCACGTGGTTGCTCGGAGGAATGACCACGTGAGCACGCAGTGAGAAGGAGGCTCTCTACAGCCAGGAAGAGAGCCCTCATCAGTCACCAAATCTGCCAGCATCTAGATCTTGGACATTCCAGCCTCTAGAACTGTAAGAAATAATTGTCTGTGGTTTAAGCCACCCAGTCTCTGGAATTTTGTTATAACAGTCCAACCAGATAGCAGCATATTGTAAAAGACAAAACTGAGATTTTAGATAGCAATGAAAAAAAATCCAAAAGCTGATTTAAGACCTGGTTTTATACTAGAAACTTCAGAAGACTAAGGGGAGCAACTGCAAAACCAATAATTACAGGGACAAGAAGAGAAAGAGAAATTCCCCCTCAAGATGACTGTGCAGAGTCAAATTTTAAAACGCATGAAGAAGATTGTTGCCAAAGCAAAATCAACAATTAGGAGGCTTATTTCCTGCAGAAAAAATAAACAATAGGAAAATATTTAAATGACTCAGTAGAAGACTGTTTGGACCCCTTAAAAAACTGAAGGAAGGCTGGGCATGGTGGCTCACACCTGTAATCCCAGCACTTTGGGAGGCCAAGGCCGTGGATCACCGGAGGTCAGGAGTTCGAGACCAGCCTGACCAACATGGTGAAACTCCCACCTGTACTAGATACAAAAAAAAAAATGAGATGGGCATGGTGACCTGTAATCCCAGCTACTTGGGTGGCTGAGGCAGGAGAATCGCTTGAACCCAGGAGGCGGAGGTTGCAGTGAGCTGAGATTGTGCCATTGCACCCCAGCCTGGGCAACAAGAGTGAAACTTCATCTCAAAAGACAAAAACAGAAAACAGACAAAGAGACAAACAGAAACCAACTGCAACTGAAGGAAGCCGGGCACCATGGAGCATGCCTGCCATCCCAGCCAGTCAGCCGGCTGAGGCGGAAGGATCACCTGGGCTCAGGAGTCTCAGTCCAGCCTGGGCAGTGTAGCAAAACCTTGTTCCCTTTAAAAAACACTCAATCATTGGACAAATTTTAGACTAGACATGTCCAAAGAAAAACATAGTGAATTAGAAGCCTATCTTAAGAAATTTACATAGAAAATAGTATAAAAAAATAAAGAGATGAAAAATACGAAAGCTTCATTAAAAAGAACACATAGCTAATAGGAGTTCTAGGAGAAGAGAACGAAGAAATGGAAAAGAAGCAATAGTCAAAGACATAAAAGCAGATCATTTCAAAGAATGAAAGCGAAAGGAAAATTCTCAGATTGAAGGGAAGTGAGCACTGAGTGCCGTGCATCATAAAGACAGCCGAGCCTCTACCTGAACAGATGGTAGAACACTGCAGGATATAAAAGACACAGACAAAAACTTAAAGGTGACCGAGGAGAAAAGACCTGTTACCTACCAGAGAATGACAAGTGACATGGTTTGGATCTGCATCCCCACTGAAATCTCACATCAAATTATTATTATTATTTGAGATTGAGTTTTGCTCAGTTGCCCAGGCTGGAGTGCAATGGCATGATCTCAGTTCACCGCAACCTCCTCCTCCAGTGCCTCAACCTCCCAAGTAGCTGGGATTACAGGCATGCACCACCACGCCCAGCTAATTTTTGTATTTTTAGTAGAGATGGGGTTTCTCCATGTTGGCCAGGCTGGTCTCGAACTCCCGACCTCAGGTAATCTGCCCGCCTCAATCCCCCAAAGTGCTGGGATTACAGGCGTGAGGCACCGTGCCTGGCTTCACATCAAATCATAATCCCCATTGTTGGAGAAGAGGCCTGGTGGGAGGCCAATGGATCATGGGGGTGGACAACCCCCTTGCTCTTATCATGAGAGTGAGTTCTCACGAGATCTGGCTGTTTAAAAGCATGTAGCACCTTCTCCCTCTCTCTCTTCCTCGTTCTCTGGCCATGTAAGACGTGCCTCCTTCCTTTTTGCCTTCCACCATGATTGTAAGTTTCCTGAAGCCTCCCCAGCCATCCTTCCAGTACAGCATACAGAACTGTGAGCCAATTAAACCTCTTTTCTTTATAAATTACCCAGTCTCGGTAGTTCTTTATAGCAATGAGAGAAATGACTAATACAACAAGTTACGCAGACATCGTGCCAAGGAGGAAAGAGGCCAGAAAGACATGGAGCAAACACTTCAAAGTACTGAGTATAAAAAAATGGAGGGTAAAATTCCATTTGCAGCTAAATAATTACTCAAGATTAAAAAGGAAATAAAACCACTGTCATACATATAAAGACTGGAAGAGTTTATACCCAAGAGATATTCACTGAAAGAAGTTCTAAGGATGTATTTCAGCAAAATACAAAGTGAACCTAAAGGGAAAATTAGGATGTGAAAAAAAAAAGGTCAGTGCAAAATTGGTAAATATATATGTAAATTGAGCTATTGATCATTAACTAATAACAATGATAATCATAATGATAATCATAGTTGTGTTTGATAAAAAGATACCACGAAGATTCTAGAAAACATTTTACTAAACTTCTTTACTTGTCCACAAGGATAATAAGGATATTGAACATACGTGGACTTCATTAGAAGAACTTATAACTGTATAGACATATAGCTGTATGTATATTGAAATACAGGTGACTTTAATATCATACTCTCAATGAATGAAACAGCCAGAGAGAACTTAACACAATCATCCAACTAGCTCTACCAGACATACACAGGACCCTCTACCCAGCAACAGCAGCATACACATTCTCAAACACACGAGACCATTTCCAGGATGGACCATATGTTAGGCTACAGATAAACACTCAATAGATTCTAAGAGATACGTATCATGAAAAACATCTTCTCTGACCACAAAGGACTGAAGTTAGAAATCAACAACAGAAGTAAAACTGAACAATTTACACATTTGTGAAAATTAAACAACATATTCTTAAGCAACCAACAGATCAAAGGAGAAATCACAAAGGAAATTGGAAAATACCTAGAGACTAATTAAAATGAAAATGTCACATACGAGAAGTCACAGGACAGAGCAAAGGCAGGGCTAAGGGGGGCATTGATAGTTATCAACATTTACGTTAAACAACAAGAAAGATCTCAAATCAACAACCTAGCTTTACAACTAAACCCAAAGCTACGAGAAGGAAGAAAATACTAAAGATTAGAGCAGAGATAAAATAGAGAAGCAAAAATTAATGAAATCAAAAATTGGTTCTTTGAAAAGACAACAAAATTGACAGACCTTTAGCTAGATGAAGTAAGCAAAAAAAGAGAAGACTCAGATTAGTTTACAACTAAGCCCAAAGCTATCAGAAGAAAAAAAAATACTAAAGATTAGAGCAGAGATAAACAAAATAGAGAATTTTAAAAATAGAGAAAATCAATGAAATCAAAAGTCGGTTCTTTGAAAAGATAATAAGGGCTGGGTGCAGTGGCTCACGCTTGTAATCCCAGCACTTTGGGAGGCCGAGGCGGGTGGATCACCTGAGGTCAGGAGTTCGAGACCAGCCTGAGCAACATGATGAAACCCATCTCTATTAAAAATACAAAAATTAGCTGCGCACAGTGCCAGGTACCTCTGAGGAGGCTGAGGCATGAGAATTGCTTGAGACAGAGGTTGCAGTGAGCTGAGATTGCGCCACTGCACTCCAGCCTGGGCAACAGAGCAAGACTCCATCTCAAATAAATAAATAAATAAATAACAAAATGGACAGAACTTTAGCTAGATGAAGTAAAAAAAAAAGAGGACTCAAATTACTAAAATTAGAAACAAAGGTTGGGACATTACTACCAATTCTACAGCAATAAGAAGGATTTTCACAGTGTGATGAGCATCGCTTCTCGGCCTTTTGGCTAAGATCAAGTGCAGAGTGTGATGAGCAACTGTGCACTAGTACTGGATAGCCAAGAGGGAATAAGCACAAACTCCTAAAAACAAAAATTGCAAAGATTAAATCACAAAGAAAGAGAAACATCTGAATAGATTTATAACTAGTGAGAAAATTAAATCCATAACCAAACATCTCCCAACAAAGAAAAGCCCTGGACCTGAAGGCTTTACTGGTAAATTCCGCCAAATATTAAAAAAAAAAAAAAAGAATGAACACCAAATCTTTGCAAAACTTTTAAAACTGGGAACAGCGTTTTTTAATTAAAAAAATTTTGTTTTGAGATGAGGTCTTTCTCTGTCACCTATGCTGGAGTGTAGTGGTATGACCACAGCCTCCCATGTAGCTGGGACTACAAGCACACGTCTGGCTAAATTTTTATATTTTTTGTAGACCTAGGGTCTCCCTATGTTGGCCAGGCTGTTCTCAAACTCCTGGCCTCAAGCGATCCTCCAACCTCAGCCTCCCAAAGCGCTGGGATTACAGGCATGAGCCATGGTGCCCAACCAAAACTTTTTAAAATAGGAAACAAAGAACAGTGGAGAGCTACAGAGGTGAAATGATTTCATCTACCATAACCGCACTGCAGAGTCTCATCTTTACATTCCGTAAAAGCTTTTCTTCCTGTCTGTCTTTGAAAAGTTATAACTCGTTTGGGTAGTCTCATTACATCTGATTTTTTTGGCGTTTTGAGGGTGGACTTTAGACAGTTGCATGGATGTGTTGATCAAGGGCTTGGGGAGAAATCTTTGCCAAATACTTTTAGGACCCCAGTCTCATGTTTATCCTCCGAGCGCCCAGTGAAGCGGGGGGTGCAGGACCATGGCGGAGGCTCAGAGGGGCAGGCACTTGTCTGTGGTTACGTGATGACTAATGGACAGCTAGAAATGGAACCCAGGTTGCCTACCCTCACCACCCCAGCTTTTCCCATCTCCCCAGACCACTCCCAAGCTGTAGGGAGATTGTGAGGTCTCCTTCCTGGGGCTGATTCAGACCAACCTTGTGGATGAGACCTTGTTCCCCAGACCAGAGACAGGGGATGCCAATGCCCCAGGGGAGGCTGTTTAGCAGTCCATGCTCCCCTCACTGTCCCCTGGGGAGTCTGGTAGATCTCAGAAGCAGACAGGGCTGTGGCATTGATGGACAGAGGACTGTCTCCATCACCTGGTGCCTGAGGCTCACCTTTACTTGCAGTCAACGGGAGGATGGTCTTACAAGACTGGAGATAGAGCGTTCAAGGCGGACAGGAAAAATAGCTCTTCTTAGAAAATCATCCTTCTTCTTTGCAGCTGCTTAAAGTGAGGCCCAGCCATCCTTTTGTTAATATCTCCACCTACTTGGGAAGAAAGGTAAATCATTGACAACTGCTGGTGAGAGTGACTTGGCCCAGCACTGCGCTTATAAAACCCAGGACTGGTAAATTCTCTCGTCTGTAAAATGTCCTTCCCCAGAGAGCTTCTAGAGCACACAGGCATCCAGCGATCTGCGGGCACAATTAGAGCAGAGGCTGGAGGCAGCTCTGGGCTCTCTGCTAGCCCAGCTCTGCCACTTCTCTCCCTTTGTGGGCTCCCATTGACTGAGTCAGGATGGCATCAGGTTCCCCCATGAGTTCTGACCTAATGGGTTGGACTCTAAGGCAGGCTTGAAGAGAGTCACCAGCCCACTGGCCTGGGGCTGGTACCATGTTTCCCAAGGGGAAGGAAAGATGCTGCCCCCATTGCCTGGAACTCCTGGGGAGTAGAGGGAAAGTGAGTCCCATCCAGTTCTTTCACACTGTCACAGTCTTGGAAGGAAACATTGTAGAAATTCACATCAAAGACTCAAAAAATAAGTCACAGAGCAGTCAGGGCTAAATGAAACCTCAGAGTGCATTAGGTCAACCCCCCTTATTGCTCTGGGCAGGAGACCGAGGCTCAGAGAGGGCGAGCCCCCTGCCCAAGGTCACACAGTGCGGAAGCAGGCCTGAGTCTGCAGACTCCAGAGTGGCAGCAGCTGCTGGCCCCTCACACACCCGAGGCCTGTGGTCATAGAGACCGACTCTCCACTGCCCGAAGCAGAAGCCTCAGGAGCAGAAGAGAGAGGAAGAGGAGGGGAAAACAGAGCGCCGGGAGCAGGAAGGGGCATGAATTTGCTCAGCCCAACTGCAGCTTGATCAATCGCAAGTGGGGTGTGGCAGCGGAGCGGCTGCTGGAACCGCAGCTCCCCTGAGCCCCATCAGTCAGCGATATAGTAATAAAGTGGCCGGGGCTGGAAAAATGCTATGAGACTCCAGAGAGTTCAGTCTCATCCCGCTGGATTATAGCCCTGTTATCGACACCCCAGGGGCTTGTTCTGTCTCCTTCAACCCAGTTCAGGAGATGAAACTTTTCGGGGGCACCAGGGGTGGTGTGCTGGCTGGCGGGATGCAGCCCAAACCCAAAGGGTGGGCTGGGAGCCGGAGAGGCAGGAGTGGAAGTGGGCTCCGGCAGAGGCATGCCTGCCAGAGATGTCTGGGGTGACCCTGCTCCCTGAGCCCCAACTCCAGTGTCCACTGAGGCTTCAGCTATGCACTGGGCTGTGCCTGGGGATCAGAGGGAGAAGCTGGGGGCCTGGCCTGGGAGTCCGTCCTCACAGCCAAAAGGTTGAAAAGAATAGCAGTGACGGGTGGTCCGGCTGCTGAAATGCAGCAGACAGAAAGGGCCCTGGGGCTTTCAGGGTGGAGGACAAGCTTCCGGAGGGAGGCGAGGCCACACCAGGGCTCAAAGGGTCAGAACTCTGTTGCAGGCTCCTGCTGGCCTCTCCCTCCTCCTCATCACCGCACCCAGGGTCCGAGTGTCCGAAACAGCAGGTGTCCTCCGACTGTAAAACTCTCCCGGCAACCCAGTGCTTCCTGGAAAGTCAGAACTCCATCACATAATAATAATATTCAGCCATAAATAGACATGAAACTCTGATACGTGCTACGACCTGGAAGAAACTTGAAATCATTATACTAAATGAAATGAGCCAGACACACAAGCACACACAGACAAATACTGTACGATTCTACTCACATGAAGCATCTAAAATAGGCCAATTCATAGAGGCATGAAGTAGAATAGAGGTCATCGGAGGCTAGGGAAAGGGGGGCAGGGAGTTATTGTTTAGTGGGTGCAGGTTCTGTTTGAGATGATAAAAAAAGTTCTTGAGATGGATAGTAGTGATGTTTGCACAACATTATGAATGTACTTAACGCCACTGAATTGTACATTTAAAAATGGTTAAAGGCCCGGAGTGGTGGCTCACACCTATAATCCCAGCACTTTGGGAGGCTGAGGCAGGAGAGTTGCTCGAGCCCAGGAGTTTGAGGCCAGCCTGGGCAACATGGCAGGATCCCCGAAATGGCCCTCTGTCCTAGCCACTGCAAACGACTCACGACCTCCCGTTGGCACCGTGTCCTGTCACGGTGCTGTGCCTTTGCACACGCTATTCTCTTGGCCTGGAATTCCAACTCTTCTCTTCCTGGATAACATGGGCTGGTTCGTTAAGACTCCACTGGTGTCCCACCTTCCCAGGGAATTCCCCCACCGACATGTTCCTTACACAAGCAGAGTCAGAGGCACCCTCATCTGGGGACTCACATTTCCTGGGCTGCCCACATCAAGGTGCCTAATCTGTGGGTACGTACAGTGATGCCACCCTCTTGAAGTGGAGCTAGATGAGGCAGTCCAAGACATCACAATAAAGCTTCCAGCATGCCAGTCACCATGGCGCACATCTACCGTCCCAGCCGTTTGGAAAGCTGAGGTGGAAACGCTCCTGAGCCCAGGCATTCAAGATCGGCCTAAGCAACACGACTAGACCCTGTCTCAAAAAAAAAAAAAAAAAGAAAGAAAAGATTTCAGTATCACTTCCAGTAGGTATTCTTAATTAAAGTGGCAACAGGGGACATGGCTGATCAGAGGTAGGACGTGGGTTCTTTCCCCAGCATTTCAGATGTGAATGTAAGCCATGGTTCAAAAGCAGTGGAAGCATTGCTATAACATTAGGGTCAACCTGAATATTAGCTTCCCAAGGGAATGCGGTGATATTTCGGTCCACCAGCAACTGAGAATAAAAAGAGAAGATAAAGACCTGGAGAACATCAAAAGCACATCTGAAGGCTGTAGGCAGCCCATCTCTCTAGGGAAATTTTAAAGTGACCCAACTAGAAGAATTTAAAACATAGGCATTAGCTTAGGAACTTTATGATCTATAAAAATAATATCCACCCATCAAGATCTGGTTTCTCATATTCTATTCCAGTATAGATGATACTGAATTTACATAAATAAAATCATGTCTGCTAGACAGAGAAAGACATAGAGACATATATGACTAGACACACTTAGATCTGTAAACTTGCAATGAGACTTAGACACCGGCACATCTTATATGTCAGCGAAAACAGTCATCTATGTCTCTGCTTCCTCAGCTTGACCATGAGCTCCTTGAGGGCAGGTCCTTCATCTTTGTGGTCCCGGGCTGATAGAATACAACACGTAAAGGAAGGAAATAAACGTCTGCTTTGTAAATGAATGGGTTATTCTTTGCATCTCCAGCACCCAGCACAGTGGGTGTTTCTTGGAGGAAGCTTCTCCTTCACATCTGACATGCGGTCCTCGCCTGCACCTCGGCCCTGCCTCCCGCTGTCGGATGACAGCAGTGGGAAGCAGAAGTTCCTGCACACAGGGGAGCGTGGCGCCCTGGCTCCTCGATCAGCCGGCTGGGAGGGACCACAAGGAAGTGAGGAGCCTCCACCCTGAGAGGCTGGACTGCCCGGGGCCTGGAACCTGAAGACGAGGCCGGAGCTGCACAGAAGTCTCAGGGGGCTGCAGGTAGCTCACACTCTACAGCTTGGAATGACGAAATCGAAGGGAAGTTGCAAGAAGAGACCATTCACAGGAGCCGTGTCCATTACAGCAAACTAATCAGAACAACTCCAATGCCCTTTGAAAGGAAGATGGATACATGGGGGCAGAATCTTTCTCTGGAATACTGTACTATAATGAAATTGAAAAAAAAAAAATGACCGCTACGTACAATAGTATGTGTGAATCTTCTTAACATAATGTGGAGTGAAAAGGCAAATCTCAGAAGACGATACATAACACGATGCCCTTTTTATAAAGATCACAAACAGCATAAATCAGCAACGTATTGCTTAGGCATCCACAGATACGTGGTTGTGGTGGCATGACCCCTGCTCAGTGAGTCTTCTGGTTCTTCCTTCATTTTGGAAGGCATTTTTCCTTCAGGCCCTCTTGAAATTAGGGATAGCCTTGGGAAGAGCTTTGGCCAAAGAAAGTTCAGCACAAGTGCTCAGTGTCACTTTTGAGTAGAAACATCTAAGAGCTTGTACGTATTTCTTATTCTCCTTCTCCTCCCCCAACCAAAGCAAACCCCAGAACTTAGAGTTGAAATGGCATTAGATAGTGGCTGTGCCATGTACGTGCCTGGGTCCCCGAGTGCCTGCCATGGGCAGAGCCTCTGCCAAACTGCACTGGCGGAAGAATAAGCCTCTGTCAGGGCAAGCCACTGAGCCTGGGGGTTGTTCCTGTGGTGTAACCTAGTTTATCCTGACTGATATAGAAACAAATTTAGGCTGGGCACAGTGGCTCATGCCCGTAATCCTAGCACTTTGGGAGGCCGAAGTGAACAGATCACTTGAGCTCAAGAATTTGCGACCACCTGGCCAACATGGTGAATCCCTATCTCTACAAAAACGACCAAAAAATAAAGTTAGCTGGGCATGGTGGTGAACAACTGTAGTGCCAGCTACTGGGGAGGCTAAAGCAAGAGGATCACTTGAGCCTAGGACGCAGAGGTTGCAGTGAGCTGAGATCGTGCCAGTGCACTCCAGCCTGGGAAACAGAGCAAGACTCTGTTTCAGCCAGGTGTGGTGGCTCATGGCTGTAACCGCAGCACTTTGGGAGGCCAAGGCGGGTGGATCACCTGAGGTCAAGAGTTCAAGACCAGCCTGACCAACATGGTGAAACCCCGTCTCTACTAAAAATACAAAATTAGCTGGGCATGGTGGCAGATGCCTATAATGCCAGCGACAAGGGAGGCTGGGCCAGGAGAATCGCTTGAACCTGGGAGGTGGAGGTTGCAGAGAACTGAGATCCTGCCATTGCTCTTCAGCCGGGGTGACAGAGCAAGACTCTGTCTCAAAAAAAAAAAAAAGGAAAAAGGAAAAGCAGAGATAAGTTTATGTTTTAAAGGGTAAGAGGGCCTAGATGTAGTGGTTCACACCTGTAATCTAGGCAGTTTGGGATGCTGATTCAGGAGGATTACTTGAGGCCAGGAATTTGAGGCTGCGGTGAGCTAGGATTGCACCCCTGCACTCCAGCCTGGGCAACAGAGAGAGACTCCATCTCTTTAAAAAAAATGATAAGGGAGTGATACATCCAAAATTAGCACAGTGCTGACCTCTGAGGAGGAGGCAGGGAAAACGACAAGGGAGGGGCACCAAGCAGGTCCAAATATTGTTAAGGTTCTAGATTTGGAGTTGAGCTCTGAGTTTCAAGGTGCTTGCTGTGTTATTGCAAACAAATTAATTAATTACAGTGGCCCTGCATAAGTCAATAGTAAGAGTGCTTCATAACTAGGGTGTTATTGACCCAATCGTGTGCACGTGAGGTTCATTTAAAAAGAAAAAGAAAATAATTACTGCTCAACTATGAGCTGGAACCTCAGCATTGGGCATGCCCAAGGGGAGCTCGCATCTTGTCTTGCAGGCAATGGGCACCCACTGAGGGCACAAGGAGGGCAAGGGCGGAGCTCAGAGGTGTGTTTTTTCTCCTAATTCCCTAAGGCCCAGGGCCCAAGATTCCATTCCCCACAGCCCCTCCTCCAGGCCCCCGGGGGACTCTCACACTAGCCAGCTGCTGAGAGGTGGGAGACAGGAAGATCACAGAGCCTTCATTGCTGGCAGCTTGTCAAACCTGCCACAAAGCCTCATCTCAATGCATTTGCATGAAATGATTTTATCCCAGCTGCCTCCTGGTCCCTGCCCCCACTCCCAGGACCCTGGCAGGCCCGGCTCCCCAGCAGTGACCTCACAGGCCCCCGGACCAATCCCAGACCCCCTCTGAGGATATCAAGTTGATTGGTAAGAATTCTGATGGGGAGTAAGGCAGCAAATCACACTGCCACGTGTGTTCATATGCAACAATTTTGTATGTTCTTCACATGTACCCCAAAACCTAAAATGCAATAAAATAAATAAATGGAAAAAAAAAAAAGAATTCTGCTTTTCTTGTATCCCGGGAATCCTGAATCTTACACAACTTTCTCTCCCTCTCCCTGGATGCTCATGACAGTCTGTGGGGCACCCCTGCAGAGTTGTAGGCAGGAGAGGACATACTGGGATGTACAAGGTGGAGGCTCACTCTGGCTGCTGGGGAGGGACAAGGGTGGAGGCAGGGAGACCACCAAGGCAGGAAAGGGAGGAGGTCTGGACTGAGAAGGGACAGAGGGAGGGAGGCACTGAGCAGAGCTGAGAGCCGCTTAGAAGGCAAGACCACGGAGCTCACCAATGAGCCACAGGGCCCAAGCTCAGCTTCACGGCCACAGGAAGGAAACAGGAGCAGTCCTGCCCCGGGCTCCAGGCACCGCAGCTCACAGCCAAGGCTGGAGCCAGATTGGATGGTCCAGTGCCAGAGAGAGAGGAGTATGCGGTCGGGGGGCAGGGAATAAGTGACTATTTATCTTTGGACCTTTAGAGCTATTTGAGCATATTAATTTGACCTAAAAATTCCGACTAAAAACAAGAAGGCACATTAGAGTCAGACTGTCACAGGTGTGGACGGTCAGTATCCACACAGCGCAGACAAGCAGCAGGCAGGTCATGACCCCTTGAAATCATGCCCCGAGTTGGTTTCATGGATGCAGATTTTTCTGAAAAGTATGTTTTATTGAATTCTCAAAAGGGCCTGTGATCTGGTCATAATGAAAATACTTAACATTTAAATGCACGAACATTGTAGATGTCATCTGATCTAGACAGAGACGGAGCCATACAGACGCAGACACACACGTGGGGATAGATCAACTCATTTAATCCTCTCAGCGGCCCCAGGAGGAGCACTGGATTGTCATCTCCATTTCACAGACCTAGGGACTGAGGTAGCAGGAGCTTCAGCGACTTGCTGAAGCTTGCTCAGTTAGTGACATTTGAGTCCAGAGTTTCAGCTACAACCCTGGCCCCATCTGGTCTAATACCAAACTTGCCAGGTAGACAAATGAGGCCCTGGGGCACAGAAGGGTTCACCCCAGGTTCCACAGACAGAGAGTGCTGGCTCCATGGACTTGTGGACCTCTGCACTCCCAACCCTTCTTGGGCCTCTCACTTCAAGAGCAATAGGAAATCTCAAGGCCAGGTGTAGTGACTCACGCCTGTAATCCCAGGACTTTGGGAGGCTGAGATGGGCGGATTACTTGAGGTCAGGAGTTCGAGACCAGCCTGGCCAACATGGTGAAACCCTGTCTCTACTACGAATGCAAAAATTAGCCAGGTGTGTGGTGATGGGAGCCTGTAATCCCAGCCACTGGGGAGGCTGACGCAGGAGAATTGCTTGAACCTGGGAGATGAAGGTTGCAGTGAGCCAAGATCTTGCCACTGCACTCCAGCCTGGGCAACCGAGCAAGACTTCATCTCAAACATACACACACACACACACACACACACACACACCACACACCACACACCAAAACAAAAAAAAAAGAGCAATAGGAAATCTTGGTCCCTCCCCTCATCCATGGCCACAGCTGGGAGGGTGGTTTGCCAGGGACATCTCAGGAACAGGTGTGGGGCAGGGGAGAGCTCCCACCTACCTTCACTACCACTGCTATTGGCAACCCAGCTGCCAATGCAGGAAGACCTCAGCCGGGCCAGCCCTTAGCAGGGACAGGGTATTGGTCTGTTTTCATACGGCTATAAAGAACTGCCCGAGACTGGACAGTTTATAAAAGAAAGAGGTTTAATTGACTCACAGTTCAGCATGGCTGGGCCGTCAGGAAACTCACGATCACAGCAGAAGGTGAAGGGGAAGCAAGGAACTTCTTCTTCCTGCTCAACAGGAAGAAGAAGTGCTCAACAAAGTGGGAAGGGCCCCTTAGAAAACCGTCAGATCAGCCGGGCGCGGTGGCTCAAGCCTGTAATCCCAGCACTTTGGGAGGCCGAGGCGGGTGGATCACGAGGTCAAGAGATCAAGACCATTCTGGTCAACACGGTGAAACCCTGTCTCTACTAAAAATACAAAAAATCAGCTGGGCATGGTGGTGCTTGCCTGTAATCCCAGCTACTCAGGAGGCTGAGGCAGGAGAATTGCCTGAACCCAGGAGGCGGAGGTTGCAGTGAGCCGAGATCGCGCCATTGCACTCCAGCCTGGTAACAAGAGCGAAACTCCGTCTCAAAAAAAAAAAAAAAAAGAAAACCGTCAGATCTCGTGAGAGCTCACTCACCATCAGGAGAGCAGTGTGGAAGGAACCACCCCCATGGTCCACCAATTATCTCCACCTGGTCTCTCCCTGACACGTGGGAAAAATGGGATTATAATTCAAGATGAGGTGGGTGGCGACACAAAGCCTAGCCGTATCAGACAGGAGCCCCTGTCTTCCATAACCAAGCCCTGCTGTCTCCCTGGCCTCTCTTCCCTACCTCCGCCCTCCGCTGTAACTGAGAGTGAGGAAGGGGAGGTGGGCTGGTGGCCTTGGGTAGGGCCTGGCACCTCCTGGAGCCTCAACTGCCCTACCTCTCCTCCCTGTCATCTCACCCCCAAGGGTGTCGTCCCACTCCTCCGAGGCCTTGTGTCCTCCAGGGCCTTGCCTAAGTCTGCCCCTTCCCATGCTCAGGATTGTGTGAGCCCCTGGGCCAGGCTGGAGCTCACCCCCAGGGGACTGTGGCAGAGGCAGGAGCCTGGAGGAGGAACGGGGGAGGAGGCCTGTGGGGAGATGCTGGGCCTCCGGACCACTGAGAGGGGCCTGAGCCAGTGCTCACACCTAGGTCTCAGGGTCCCCTGCAGGACTCCATGTGGGGCCAGATGACAGGATATCACAGCAGGGTATAAATCAGGTATAAGAGGCTTGCTCAAGACACTACAGAAGGCCCAGCTGCACCAGGGGAAGGGAAGCCTGGTGTCCCTGGATGGCAAGGAGGGAGGGTCGTCTAGGGCAGGGATGGAGCTCGGAGGAGGGCTGGAGCTCTGATAAAAGAACTGGATGGGCTTCCTGGAGGAGGAAGACAGGAGGGGTCCTCAAGGTAGGGGGCAGAGAAGGGGAGGGCCACGAGCGGGACAGGTTCCGGTGAGGCAGGAGGTTGCTAGCGTTAGACCTCCTGAAGGGGGTCTGTGTGGGAACTTTGGACCAGAGCCCAAAGCCCGTGAACGCCCCACTGAGTGGAGAGTCCACTGCTGACCTCCTCCTCCACCCAGGACACAGCCGAAAGTGATGCCAGCCTCGGCCTGCTGGGAAATCCCTGTTATCCTAACAGTGCGGGGAGGTTTGTCTGGGCCCCCTCCCCCCACCTCAGACTGGGGCCTGCAAGTCAGGGGTTTCACCCACGGTCATCCCAGGGCAGGGCTGTGACCCTCCACAGCCCCACCCCACCCTGGGGCCCAGCAAGCAGCCCTGAGCCAAACTTCCCCAGGTTCCAGCCACCGTCAGCCCCGAGCGGGCTGTGCAGAGGGCTCTCTGCAGCAGGGGCTGGCTCAGGGGGGCCAGCATGGTCGGTCCCACACTGTTCTCAGCTTTTTGCTCTTGCAGGGAGGGGTTGTCCCTCCCAGCATGCTCCGATCACCAAGGTGACCTGAGCCGCTGTGAGTCTCCTTGTCAGCTGAGCCCCAGGTGGTCACAGGGGCGGAGGCCTTGGCAGGCCCTCCCTCTGCCTCCCACAGCTGTGCTGCCCCTAGGCCACTCTGCACCCCCCTTCATGGGAACTGAGGGTACTGGTGGGGTGCCCAGTGGATTTCACAGCCTAGCCTGCATTGTGTATGTGGGGCTTCCCAGGAGGTAAAGAACATGCTGGAGCCAGCGAGCCCCGCCTGCCTCAGCCTCTCAAAGAAGGACCCCCGCGGGGGGTGGGCCAGGCAGATGTCACCATCATAAAGAGGAATTTGTTGAAGAGAGCCCCATACTCCCCTTGACAGAGGTCAGAAACTCCAGCATTCCTGGGGGCTCAGCGGGTGCCTGAGGGAAGCTGTCTGCTTGCAGGCTGGGCGCTCTGCATGTAAATGGCTTGCTCCATTCTGCAGCTCCACAGAGGGAGAAACGCGCGCTGCGTGGATGGGGCTCCTCATGTTTTAAGAGAGCTTTAAAATGCAGAATCTATGTGAAATCTCCCAGGTTTTAAGTGTTGACAAGCAGGTCAAATTTCAAAAGAACGTGTGGTTTAAACAACACACATCCAGGAACCATGCTGCGGGCCAGGAGAAGGGAGCCAGGTGTCCACCGGGCAGCCTATCAGCAGGTGCGCCCGTGGGAGCCGGACGGGGGAAGCAGGCCTCAGGGCCCCAGATCCCCAAAGACAGAGCACCACACTTTAGCCCCCCGACCCCCAGCGTTTTCCAAAGGGTGGCTCCAGAGACACTTGTTCCTGGGGTTGTTCGTAGACATGTCTTCTAACACTCAGAATCTCAAGGTTAAATAAATCAAAACAGACTTCTTTACTCCAGGACACCTGGGAACCTTTCACCTGCGACAGAACCTTGTGAGTATCCAGGAGGGGAGGCTGTGCAGCGCTTCTCAAACCAATTCCACGGGGGACCCACTTTCAAGGTGTACCTGTTAATTCCAAAAAGACGCTAGCGCCCTGCAGAACGCGGCTCTAGAAGTGGAGTGCAGCACCCCACCCCACCCCAGCAGACCCAGCCGTCCCAGGGTGGTGGGCAACCAGGCTGAGTTTGGGAGGGGCAGAAGAGCCGCCGGTCTGGCAGGCGCTGGTCAGGAGCAGGCTCGCCCTGAGGATGGCAGCAGCTCCGAGGAGGAGCAGACTGAAGGACCCAGCCCGCTAGGCCACCGCTGTCATGGGGGAGAGGGACAGGCAGAGCCGGGACTGAGGCGGGGAGGCTGCTGCAGAGTGGATGTGTCCAGGGAGATTTGCAGGTGGAAGAAACGGTCAGAGCTTGGTGACTGGAAGGCAGGACAGAGTGTCGGGGAGGGAGAAGGCTAGGACCAGACCAGATGAGGGCTAAATGGGCAGAGCTCACACAGAGACTTTGGGCCCCAGGGGAGGGGCGCTCAGAGCCCAGGCTGGGGACCGGTTCCCTCCATGTCCCCTGACGCACAGCTCATCTCAGGGAGTCAGGCGCAAGCAAACTTCAGCCTCCTGGGGAGAGAAGCCCCAGAGCACCTGGGCAAGCAGGTGGTAAAGTGGGTCAGGGCACCAGGAGCTCAAAACCCGGCCACCCCTCCCTCGGGATCCAGCACTGCACCAGGGGGTGGCTGGGAGAAACTCAGGGCCCTCCTGCTCCTGCCCCCAAAGCTCTGCCCTGAGCCAGGCCGGAGGGCCGCCCAGGCTGCAGCTGCTGCAGTGCCCCAGTGCCACCCGGGCCCAGGCCTGGGCTTTTCCTGCTTCCAGCAGCCCTGGTCCCTCCCGCTGAGAGGAGAGGCGGGGGCGATTCCCATAACTGTCTCTCCAGCTGCCCCCACAGCCTCCAGGCTAATTTTAGCCCTGCCATCAGGCTGCAGCTGGGGGCGTTGGGTTGGAGAGGGCTGTGTGCCTGCCCAGTTCTGAACACAGGCCCTGGGGGCCGCGGGAGGCTCGGAGGGCTGGCCATACCCAGAGAAACAGCACAGCTCAGCCCAGCAGGCCCTCCCGACACCCACCCCACCCTGCCTCTCTGGGGCCTTCTTCCTCCCACGGGGACCCCTCTAGGGCCTCCCACTGCCTGCCAAGCAACAGCCACGCCCTGCCCACTCTTTGGTGAATTCCCACTGCTCTGGGCGTTCTCGGTAACCAAGCAAGGCCGGCGGTTGGTGTCCGCTCCTCCCGCCCTGCTGCCGAGTGGGGCCTGGGTTCCCTGGCTCTATGCACTCTCCCTTGGATGGTTCCAGCAACCGCGCATTAAAATCCCACCTTGTGGGGCAAGTCCAACATCGCCCTCTGTGAGCATCCCCCACTCCTCGGCCAGAGCTGAGTCCTCCCTTCCCTGCGCACCTTGAGCTCCTCAGAGCCTGGTATTCGGGCGTCCGAGGACGTGCTGTCTCCCACATGAGACCGTTAGCTCCTTGAGAACAGGGTCTGAGTCCTGTTCATCTGGTTCCCCCATAAGCCTAGCCCAGTGCTGGGCATAGAGCAGGCACTGCTGCGGCCCGGGTGGGGTGGGTGGAGCCGGGGCCAGAGTTGCCTCTGAATGAGGCTGCTGCTGTCACCTCAGTCTCTAGTTTACTCTGCGGTTGAGGCCCCTGCCCGCTTCCCTTCCCACCCTGACCTAAGGAAGACTGCCCCACCCCCAGACCCCCATGGCTCCTGGTTGCCCTGCAGAAGGCAATGAGTGTCTGACCCCAGAGGCCAGGCCTGGGACATGCAGAACCTCTGGTCTGGTCAAAAACAACTCAGGCCAGACTGTCACCCTAGTAGGTTGAACAGTAGGACCTCCCAAGCCATGTAGTTCACTCATGCAGAGGCAGAAGCCAGATCACGCCTCTAGAGCAACCAGAATGTAGAGTCGGGGGCGGGGGGACCTCGATTATGGGGGAGCTGAACAGCAGAACCCCAAGGAAGATGAAGAAGCCTATGAGGAGGAAGGAGAGAGCAGAGGAGAGACCTTGGGGAGCAGCCAGTAGGGAGAGTCCTGTTACAGCTGAAGCCAGAGGCCTGGCTCCGTGCACGTGACCCGGAGAACAGATTCAGGGAAGACCATTCCATTTCACTGGAGGTGGGATCGTTCCCGCAGAGGGGAGAAGAGCTTTTCCTGCCACCCAGAGCCAAGATGGGGCCCCCTCCAGGAAGAGGTGAGGAACTGGGGCTTTGGAGACTTTTTTTTTTTTTTTTTAGAGGGAGTCTCATTCTGTCGCCAGGCTGGAGTGCAATGGTGCGATCTCTGCTCACTGCTACCTCCGGCTCTCTGGTTCCAGCGATTCTCCTGTCTCAGCCTCTGAGTAGCTGGGACAACAGGTGTGCACCAGCACGCCCAGTTAATTTTTGTGTGATTAGAGACGGGGTCTCACCATGTTGGCCAGGATGATCTCCTGACCTCTTGATCCGCCTGCCTCGGCCTCCCAAAGTGCTGGGATTACGGGCGTGGCCCGGCCTGGAGCGGTTCCGAGGACCGTCCGGGGAGCTCCAGGACGGCGGGGCTGCCAAGGTGGTGCGGCAGGGCCGGGAGGAGGGGGCAGATCCAGAGATGCCCGAGTGGAGCCCATGGCCTGCACTCACTGCCGCGCCCCTGAACCACCGCTGAGCCTTGGCTGGAGCCCCAGGGGAGCCGTCCCGCGGGCTCCGGAGCCTGCCAGCGCCCCGCTTGGGAGAACGCAGCCAGGAGCAGCTGGCAAGGGGGCGTGGAGAATGTGCCCCGCCCAGGCTGCGCGGAAGGGCCAGCGTGGGGCCCAGAGCCACAGCAGAGCCACCCAGGGGAGCCGGGGATCCACTGCGGCCTGTGTCCCCGCACCCGACGCAAGGCCTAGGACAGACAGGGGAGCCTGGCGCGGCCGCAGCCCCAGCCCCTCTCCCCTCCTGCAGCCGCGGGAGGGGGGGCCGAGGCGGCGGCTGGGTGCTTGGCCCGGGGCTGTCCGTCCAGGCACCTGGAGGCCATGACCTGTGGGTGTTTCCGGCAGAGCAGGCCTGGAGGGCAGGGCCCGGGCCAGAATCACTCACTGCGGGGACACTGCCTCGAAGAACCCCTGTTGATGGGCAGGGGGAAGATGAGAGGCAGGCAAGGAATAAGAGGCGCGGTTCTGCTGCCTCCCCCAGCCTCACCCTCCTCCACGGAGCTCCGCGACCCCCAGTGCCACCTGACCCCACCCCCGGCCCTGTGTGGGGCCCTGGGCCACTTGGGCTGGCGTGCCCACGATTCAATGCCTGCATTTCAGGCAAACAGGCCCCACTGCTCGGCCCAGGCGGCAGGTGGCTGCCCATCCCTGCCTATCGCTGCCCACCCCTGCCTCCCTATGCAGCCTCCTGCTCAGGGTGGGAAGCCCAGCCTCGCTTCCCTGGAAAGAGGAGCTCAGGGAAGCGCCCCAGGGAGGAGAACACGCCACACCCCCCCGCAGAGGCTGGTGGCTTTCTGCTGTGGGAAGGTGGGTGCCCTGAACATGGGGTCCCAACCCAGAAAGAAAGATGCCCCTCAGCATGTGAAGGTGGCAGGGATCAGGGTGCTCCAGTCCGAGCTCCAGCTCTGGGAGGACAGGCAGGGAGTTGCCTTGGGGCCTCCATTTGTCTACCCCTGGAGAATGGGCACATGCCTCAGATGGTGGAAGGGTCTGGATAAGCCAGCATGGGGCAAGGCCATGTCCTTTCTGGGGGGGTGCCAGAGAACTGCCTGCCAGCAGGCCATGACCACCCCCAGTCCTCTGCTTCCCCTCCAGGCTAAGGGCTTTGGGTGTGCTGGGCTGTGGCTGGACTCTTGGAGGCCACCACTGACCAGGTGTCTGTCCTCTCTGGCCTCTGGCCTCTGGCATGTTCCAGAGAGGACACGGGTCTTGCCCCATGCTGACTTATCCAGACCCTTCCAACGTCAGGTTCCCTTGGGTGAGTTCCCAAGGGCAGGACCTAGGGTGCCATCTCTGCTTCGCAGTCTGGAAGCACCCATGGGCAGGACTGGAGTGCCTCTGATTTTATCCAAGTGCACCAGGGCTGGGTACACACCAGGCCTGAGTGGCCAAGCCTGGGACATGCAGAACCTCTGGCCTGGCCAGAACCAACTCAGTTTCCCTCCCAAGATGTGGTTCCGTCCCTCTCAAGGGAGGAGATGCTGGAGGAGGAGAAGGTGCCTTGCCCCACCTCACCCCAGCCAGTGGACTCCAGGGAGCCACTTCTCCAGGAGAAGGGATCCGGGTGGCCCCTGGCAGTCATAAAGCCATCTGGAAAAACCTCCTGCCAGCCACATGCAGATGCCCATGCCCCTGAGGGTAGCTGAGCCGGTAAATTACAGCTGAGGGCTGCACACCCTCCCCTCTGTATTTATATCCGCCTTGGTGCCTGAAAATGGATATTTATGCGTTTTCAATATTCAGGGCAAACGCTCCATCACTCCGTGCTCACGGCTTCGGCACATGACACCGCCCCACAGGGACTTCCCTCTTCCACCTGGTTTGCCACTCAGGGGCCTGGGCCCTGGAAGGGAGTCCCCACCCCCATCTGCAGGCCCGCATGACTCGGGGGGAGTAGAGGGAAGAAAGGGACCGGGCCAGCCTCCCACTGGAGCCTCAGGGCCCTCTCGGAGGCAGGCAGGGTCGGTCCCCCGCTTTATAGACCAGCAGACAAGGCTCAGAGAGGCTGGGTGCCCAGGCAGGGTCACACAGCATCCTCTCTAGGCCAGGGTTCTCCGGCCTTTGTTTCTGTGGTTCTCTCTCACGTCTTCTCCGTGTGTCTCCAGGTCTGACTCTCAACCATCCCGGGCCCTCTCACATGTTTCTCCATCTCTTGCTTAGTGTCTCCCCAACTTTCTCACTGCCCCCCATCTCCTTGTCTCACTCCCACCCCGCCCACCTCCCCTCTCTCCTGGCTCACACCCTCCCTCTCCCTCAGAGCCGCTGTCCAAGGCTGAGGTCAGGGCAGGGGTGGGAGGAGCTGTCCTGGTGCCCAGCAGGGGCCTCCCTGGGCATTGTCTCCCCCAACCCCCGCCTGGACCTGTGATAGGAGAGCCCCCACAGCCCTAAGCCAATGAACGCACAGGAATGAGGGTGGGAGGCTCGGGGTTGGGGGGCAGGTTTCCACTTGGTGGGAACAGGTGAAAGTTGGGTGCGCCCCTTCCCCAGAGCCGTGCGGAGGGGCACTGCGGGTCAGCTTCAGGGCCAGCACCACCACTTGACCTCAAAGGGCCCGGCTGGTTCTGGGATTGGCGCTGAGTGAGGAGGAGCCTGGGCCTGCCCTGAGCAGGAAAGGTTAATGCCCCTGGGCCCGGGGTCCTTCAGCCTCCTCGCTGCCCACTTCCCCTTCGCCCTCCTGCTGCCCCTCCTTTCTCCTCTCCGCCCTCTCATTTCACTCCTCTCTCCCTCCTTTCCTCTCTTTCTCCCTCTGCTGGGAATGATAAGAATTCATTAAATGTGCCCTTGGCTCCGGGTCTACTCACTTCCTCCAGGGAATTAGCCACTCCAGCTCTTTGGGCCTTGTTAGATTCCAAGAAAAAATAACTCGTGTGTGTGCTCCATGTGAATGTACGTGTGCACGTGGGTGTCCCTGCACAGTGTACGCCCTGGGCTGGTCTGCAGGTTTGTCGACACATACCCGTGTGTGTACAATTCCACGCACATGCCGGGTCTGGAGACAGGACTGTGTGTTTGTGAGAACACATGCATGCATCTCCTGGGGTTCACGTGCACGTGTGTTCCATATGGGTCTCTATACGTGTGCACTGTAGGGCCTCACTTGGAAACCCACCCGTGTGTACACGTCTCTGTTGGATCTGTGTGCTTGCACAGTGTGTCTGGGGAGTTACGCGTGTTACTGTGCAAGTCCCTGTGGGGTGTGTGTGTGCACACTCACTAGATCTATGCGCATACCTTATTAACGCAGCATGCCTGTACATGTGTATAAACATATCTGTGTGCCAGTGTCTGTGTGTGTGCGTGTGTGTCTGTGTACGTGTGTCTGCGTGTGTGTGTATGCATGTGTCTGTGTTGTGTCTGCATGTGTGTATGTGTGTGTGTCTGTGTGTGGGTGGTTGTGTCTTCGTGTGTGTGCGCGTGTCTCTGTGCATGTGTGTGTGCATAGCTGCGCGCATGTGTGTCTGTGGGTATGTGTGTGCATGTGCATGTGTGCGCATCTGTGTGTGTGTGCATGTGTCTGTATGTCTGTGTGTATGCATGTGTCTGTGTGTGCGCGTGTCTGTGTGTCTGTATGTCTGTGTGTGCGCGTGTCTGTGTGTGTCTGTGTCTGTATGTCCGTGTGTGCATGTCTGTGTCTGTCTGTGTGTGTGCGTGTGTCTGTGTATGGGTATGTGTACGTGTGTCTGCGTGTGTGTGTATGCGTGTGTCTGTGTTGTGTCTGCATGTGTGTATGCGTGTGTGTCTGTGTGTGGGTGGTTGTGTCTTCGTGTGTGTGCGCGTCTGCACGTGTGTGTGCGCATAGCTGCGTGCATGTGTGTGTCTGTGGGTATGGGTGTGCGTGTGCATGTGTGCGCGTCTGTGTGTGTGTGCGTATGTCTGTGTGCATCTGTGTATGTCTGTGTGTGTGCATGTGTCTGTATGTCTGTGTGTATGCCTGTGTCTGTGTGTGCACGTGTGTCTGTGTGTCTGTATGTGCGTGTGTGCCTGTGTCTGTGTCTGTATGTCTGTGTGTGCATGTCTGTGTCTGTGTGTCTGTGTGTGTGCGTGTGTCTGTGTGTATGCGTGTATGTGTGTGTGTGTCGTCTGTGTGTGTGTGTCTGTGTGTGTATGCAGTGTACATGCACCCCTGCCACCCTACACACATCTCCTTCCTGGCTCCCTTGAGCTGGCAGCCTTGTCCCCAACAGAAGGCCTATTGCACCACAACCCTGGGGTGATGGCAGTGGTGGCAGTGGCAGTGTGGGTGGCAGGAGCCTGCAGGTGGGAAGGTGGAGGTGACACAGGGGAAGGCACTTACTAATGAGGCCACCTTCCTTGCTAGCCTGAGAGCTGGTGCCACTAATGATTTCTTCAGTAACCAGTTTCCTGGCGAAGGGCTGCTGCCAGAGCCCTGCTCTCTCCCTCCCCTGGGACCCCCCTTACCCCACTTCCCCCCAATCCTGAGGCACTGCAGGAACCAAGAGCACCAGGGTAAAGCACAGACAGAGCTGGTGGCAAAAGCCTGGTGCCACCAGGATCCAGGATACCACCCGCCTGCCCATCAGCCTGCCACCAGGAAGCCCGCCTTGCAGTGAACGCTCTGTGTTAGCGCGCAGTCTCCAAAAGCCCTCTGAGTCCACGTGTGCTTCTGGAGGAAGGAGGCCTGCACGCCGCAGGGAGCGCGCTTCCGTAAAAGGAGCACTCAACTGGGAGTCAGGCGAGCTGGCTACAAATCCCAGTGCTGTGCCACCTTAGGCAGGCCCTACACCTCTCTGGACTTGGTTTCCTTGTCTGTAAAATGGGGGAGGCTAGAATGGCTGGTAAACTCTCAGCTCTGTGAGCCATCTGAGCCCGGTTTGTTTCACCGTAATGGGAGGAGGCTGGAGCCACTCTAAACCTCAAACAGGAGTAGATGGTGCACGGAGCTGAGCGTTCGCTATTTTGTGTTTACTTTCAGTATGTATTTTATGTGTGTATTTTCATATATGTGTGTCTATGTGTGTGTGCATGGGTGTGAGCCTGTATGTACCTGTGCACGTGCATATGTGTGAGGGTATCTGACTAGTATATCAGACGCTAATTTCACAGATATTGCTAAAGATGAGGCTAAAACACACATTGAAATTATAAAAGAAAGCTGATTTTTTAAAATGCTGAATAAAGAAGAATTCAGATGGCATCTGAAGGTGGCAAAGTCCAGATGAAAGTCAACAAATGTCTGCAGCCCCGGCCCGAGTGTCCCTATCCCCTTCCTGCCTAAGGGACAGTGGATTGGGGGCCCTCCCTCCCTGGACTGGGAAATGCACAGAGAGGGCCCCGACTTCCCACGGTGTCCTCACGGTCCCAAGACAGACTGCTGTGTGGATCGGCAGAAGACCTTGCTGTGGGGTTCGTGAGGCTGACCCTTCAGGCCACAGGCTCCATGAGATCTCTGAGACCACAGAACGTGTCCACACGTGACCCCCCGGGGGTGATTCAGGCCAGGACACAGGAATGGCCCAGGCAGAGGTGGCCTGGGCTGGTCCTGAGGCATCCTGGGAGCTCAGCACTGCATCTCCTTGAGGGGCCAGCTGAGACTGATGTGCCCATGAATAGGTTTCTCCCCGGTACCCACCTGCCTGCCTGGGAGAGAACAGCCAGCCCCACGGCCCCAAATGTCTCTGTCCTCCAAGAGGCCGGATATGAATCACAGGAATTTACAGCCCAGCCCGGAGTGGGGTTTATGAGTCTGCCTCCAGCCCGGGCTGGCGGGGAGTGGCTGCTGTCAACCCCCCATTGCCGCTGATGGATGAGGCTGTTTCCTGCAAGACAAACTCCTCTCTGCGGCAGGCAGTGGAGGGAGAAGCATCCAGGCCCTAGGGCCAGCCCCATACCTGTCCCAGAGCTGATTGCTTGTGCCCTCCCTTGGACCTGCCCAAGACGAGACATTACCACACTCAAAGTCAGAATGGACCTCTGAGGTAGCTCAGAACACACAAACACACACATACACAAACAGATGCACACACATGTGGGCACACACACGCACACACACACACGCCTGCATGCACACACACAGTACTCAGATGAGGAACCAGGGTCCAGAGAGGGGTGGGCCTGGCCTGAATCACCCACCAGCACAGCAGTGAAGCTGAGACCCCAGCCCACAAGCCCCCTGGACTGGTTATTTCAGTGTCCGGTCACACTGGACTGTCATATGGCCATGGGGGTAGTTTTCACCTCCAAATGCCGGCGCCTCTCCAGAGTACAGACGGACCTGGGTTTGAATCCTTGTCCACCCTCTAAAAGTTATAACCTCTCTGTGCCCCTTTCCTCGCCTGAAAAATGGGGATCAAAATAACCCCAATTTGCTGAGGTTCTTACGAGGTTCAAATGAGAGGACGCAGGTAGAGCTACAGCACAGAGCGGGCCCCTGGCACATGCTCCCTGAGTGGTGACGATGGTTCTCCACCATCCCCCGTGCCTGGCGGTGGGGGCTGCGCCTGATTTGCTGTGGGCAGAAGGACAGTCAAGGTTGGTGGGGGCAGGAGCAAGGAGAGTTCGAGTGTGGGACTGCAGGGCAGGAGTGAGACCACTTCCTACTGGAGGAGACCCTGGAAACCTCCCTGGAGGTGGTGGCATCAAATAGAGGATGCAGAACTCTGTCTCTCTTGCTCTGAAGCTGACTGGGGGCTTCTTGAGTACCGCAGGGCTGGAGGGAAGCACCCTAGCCTGAAAGCCAACCCCAGCCCAGCCCAAGCTTCTGCCCTGGATGACCTGAGGAGGAGCCCCTCCCTTCTCTGAGCATCCGAAAAATGGGGCCAGGGAGGACCAGACAACACTCCATCCAGGCGCCTTTCTGCTCAGGGGCCTGTGCAAGCGGAAGAAGGCGGTGCAGACCCACCCTCGGCAGAACCCAGTTATTGCCACGCGGCGGCAGCAGGGAGTGAAGCTGCGGTCCGTCCTCCTTTCCCGGCGGCCAGTCCCTCCCCAGCACCCGGTGGTCTTTGCCCCCCCACCCCCAGCCAGCTCGCCCGAGAGCCAGAGCTGAGTGTCCTTCACATCCAGACATGCGATGCTCCCCGCAGCCCTGCAGGGCGCCAGTCAGATGGGGAAACTGAGGGCCCAGAGAGGGGAGCACTTGCTCAAGGCCCCGCGGGAGCCAAGTGTGCCCGGCGGAGGCGGTGTGAAAGGAGACGGCGGTCACACGGACCTGGCTGGGATCCCGGTCCCCTCACCTCCCGCTGTGTGTCCTCGGGCAGGTCACCCACCCTCTCTGAACCTCAGTGGATACGAGTGTTGATCACTGAAGCCACTGCTCAGTTTCCGGTAGAGTTTATGCCCCATGAGAGCGGAGACACGTCTGTCACTCGCCTCAGCGCCCCCAGAGCCTGGCGCAGGGCGGGACACAGAGAAGAGCGCCTTCCTGGCGATGGGCACACGCTGCCTGTCCTCAGACCCCGGCCCGCAGCAGTCCCGCGTCAGCCCCACCCTGCTCCCCTCCCGGCCGCCCTTCCTGCAGGACGCCCACCCGCCCCCGGCCTGGAGGGGCTCCTGCTCCGCGCCCCGCGTGCCGTCTGACCGCACCCCAGCCCGCAGGCCCCTTTCTGGGTCCCGCCGCTCCTTGGCGTCCCTCCCTCCTGCCGAGCCCCCGCTCCGCGCTCCGCTGTTCACAAGACAACCAGGACGGTGTTTATTTCTCTTTTGTCTCCCTTCCTCCCCAGAAGGGAAACGCGCTTCCAGTCTTCCAGGAAAACAGGAAAGCTCCGGATGAGAAAAAGCAAACAAAGGCCATTGGGAC